GGGCAGCGGCTCGTTCAAGGAGGACCAGGATCTGGAGCTACTCGAGGATCGGATCAATGCCATGTATGCCCATCCGGCGGCTGGTGCGAAGAAGAGCCACCAGCGCAGAGTGGAAGCGGCCCTGGCGGACGCCTGGCGCGGGCTTGACGGCTTCGGTTCCAGCCTGGGCGCCCTCTCTGCAGCCGACGCACCCGCCGCGCTCTCCGAGGCCAGCGCCCTCGTGACAGCCGCCCTCTCCGACGTCGGCCCCGATGGCGGAGGCCCCGGCACCTACGGAGAGGCCACCCCGAGCGGCGCGCGGCGGGTGGCGCGGGCGTGGGGGATAGACGCGCCTGGGCCGGGGCACGTGGTCTTCTTCGACCTCGGCAGCGGCGTGGGCAGGCTGGTGGCGCAGGCCCTCAAGGTGAAGCGAAGAGGCGCCGACCCCGCCAGACTCCCCGGACCTCTCCCGGGGGGCGCTCGTTCTGACCATGGGCTCCGAGGCGGGTCCGGCCGTGGCGGCGAGGACTCGCCCAGGAGGCCCCCAAAACGGGCGAGGAAGAGGGAAGGGTGGCGGCTTCGGTGCCCAATCCTTCTCCTCCTCTTATGATGTTCCACCCTGATTTAGCCTTGGCCACCAGGGAGCAGTTCGAGCACCAAGAAAGAGCTGAAACTGGAGGGTTTCCCTGTGTCGGGCCCGAGGAGGCGATAACTCGTTCGACACTGCTTCGATACTGTTCTGGGTGCTCGAAATCATTTTTCTGGGATGTGGTCCTTCAGCGCGATGGGAACAGCATACTCCTCCTCCTGAGGCCTACCTGGAGTGGCCGGCCGTGCGGCGCGCGGTCGGCGTGGAGCTCTCCCCCGAGCGCGCCGCGCGCGGCTCGGCCGCCTGGGCGTCGCTCGCTGCGAGCGGCGAGGCGCTGGCGCTGCGGAGGGCCGCGCTGGCGCTGCGCCCCGCGGGGGGCGAGGGCGAGGCGTTCGGCCTCCCAGGAAGGGGTCGGAGTAGAAGGCGTCGGAGGACTGTGCCGCATCGCCGATGCCTCGGCGAGATGCGGCCCGATGCGGAGGCCCAGTTTTCTCCACGCCGTCGTCGCCGCTGCATCGCCGGCGTCGCCCCAGTGCACCGCCGAGGCATCGGCGATGCGGCGGAGTCCTCCGACCCCGTCCGCTCGGACCCCGATTCCGGGAGGCCTCCCCAGAGGCGGCGCCCTGCGCGCCCGCCGCGGACGTGCAGCTGCTGCAGGGGGACCTGCTGCACGCCGACCTGGGGGAGGCCCACCGGGGGCCTTGGCATCGCTCGGACGTGTGCGTTTTTTTCCGCGGCGAGGACCGTCGAGGAGCATCCTTGATCATTTGGCGAAGAAGCCACGCACGAAACCGAGCAAAAACACGGGGAATGGACGTCCGAGCGATGGCGAGGGGCAGCGCCTCGGGCTCGGGCCGCGAGGTGTTCGGGCGCTCTCGCCGGGCCTCGGCGCTGCGCCCCGCCTCGGGCTGCGCCCTCCCCCGGCGGCGCCTCGCCGAGGGCGCGCCTCGCCGGGGGTGCCCGGGCCGTCCCGCACGGCCGGCGGAGGCCCGAGGCAAGGCATGGTCCGCGAGGGCCACGCGCGGCTGCCTTCCTTTCGGAGGGTGCTCCATGGAGTGGCGAGAGGCTGCTGCATGGCTGCATGGCGTTCCTGGGCCAAGGGGTATGTCGGGCGTGTCCCCCTACTGGGTGATTTTCAACGAAAAATGAAAACTACACCAAAAATACCCCCAAAAGGCCAAACAATATTCAAAAAGTAGTCCCCAGACTATGTTTGGAGTATGTTGTTTATTATTTCTAGGGTATTTTTTGTTTTTCGTCGAACATCCCCCTGGAGGGGGACAGGCCCGACTTACGCCAAGGGGCCCCCCCGCTTGGCGCTCCACCTTGGAGCCCTCCCGGGGGCCCTGGGCGCCTCGGGGCGGGGGGCCTCGGAGGAGGCCGCGCGGGGGCCTCCTTTTGGGAGTCCCGGGGGGGCTCGGGGCGCGAGGGAGCACCGAGGCCGCTGCCCTGCCTCGCCGTCGTCGCTGCTCTCTCTGGGGGGCCTCCCTCGCCACACGGCCAGATGCTTACCGGCCTCGAACGTATCCCTATCCCTAAGATTGACACGCCAAGAGGCGATGACAATCCTAGGGATGCGCCCTCAAAAAATAAGGGAATCCCTAAGCTTGGCATCGTGATGAGGAGGAGCCCAGCATAGGGATAGGGATATGCTCCAGGCTGGTAAGTTGCTCCTGGGAGGCCTCCATCGCCACGGCCAGATTCGCAGCGAAATCCCGGTCAGAACGCGACCCCGGAGAGGCCCAGGAGCAGCGGCACCCGGACATGCGATGTCCCGATATTTCAGCACGAGATCCTTGCACGTCGCGACCCTTTCCCTGGGACCACAGCTTTGCATCCTGTGTCGTCTTCGACGGTCCTTGGGCCTGGTAAGGGCCCCCAGCGGCCCCGTCCTGATTTCTTCACGTCGCCAGTATGTCGGGGCACCTCTTGGCTTCCCCAGAGGCCACGCACGTCTACCTCTCGTCCCTGTGCTTCGACGAGGCGCTCCTGGCGCGCATCGTGGAGAAGCTCGCCGCGGAGGCCCCGCGGCTGCGCGCTGTGGCCAGCCTCCGGGAGCTGCCCGGCGTGTGCCGGGCGGGCCTGCGCTACACGGGCTCCGTGGCGGCCGAGATGACGTGGACTGGGGCGCGGGGCACCCGGGTCTGGCTGTACGAGAAAGATGGGAAGGAGAAAAAAAAAAGCCGAGGCCTCCAGGTTGTCACTCTCTTGCGGAGGTCTTCGGGCTCGTCCAGGGGCATGCCCCTGCAGGGCGACTCTGGAAGTCGGTGCTCGCACGGGTGCCCACAGTTCCAGTCTGGCTTGAGCTGTGCAAGGGACGTTTCTCTTCCATGTCGTGTTGCAGCAGTGTAGCATAGCACAGACAGTGGATCGCAAGTGGCTGTATCTATCAACCCTCCTCCTCCTCCTCCTCCTCCTGCTCCTCCCCTCTCTCCCATGAGATCGCTCTGTCGTCCAAGAGCTTGGGCTTAGAATCGTACATAGTGGTGAAGAGTCCACAGGACTTCTTGGATGCTTCTCTGCTGCCGCACGTTAAGAACATATTCTATCCTTGCAACGATACGCTTCAAACTTCGCTCTGGTACGGGTGTCTTAGTTCCAGTGCCTGGGAGCTTTTAAAATCGAACGGAGGATCCTCGGACACAAAGGAACTCGACTATGCCGAATTGCACAATGACATATAACTACACGCATCGGATCAAGAGATAGGCTGCCGGTCATGCTACATTCTATGCCGAGGAGGGCTTGTTCAGAGCAGGGCTCCTCTGTGTGTTTGGTCATCCTCAGGGTGATCGCCTTGTTCTTCGGCGGGGCTACCTCTTCGGCGAGGCGACCCGCCACTGGCTGGTCGCCAAGTGCTCCATCACTTGCTTGAAGAGACGTGCCTTCGTGAGGCCGTCTACAGTCACAATCTCAGTGAGTATTTGAATGAAGTTCCTGATCCTGCCTTTGAGCCTTTTCCCGCTCTCGTATTGCCGAAACTGCCAGCATGCTTTGTTTATCTGATGGGACTCCCTCACACCGCAGCATCGACGCCAGAAATCCTCGAACTTGGCATCGTGCTCTTTCCAGTGCCTCCAGCATGTCTTCGCACGGTGTCGAGTTTTTTTTGTCCCACGGTGGCTGTTCTTTCTGTCATTCTCCGGGCTATGGTTTTTTGGAGCAGACTGTTTGATTTTGTTGCTGGCGCTGGTCTCCGCGCCTTGCACGTTGAGTGTGTTTTTTTGTGGTGATTTTCTTCCACGCTGGTAATACAAAAAACCACTTCCCTTCCCCCTCCTCCTCCTCCTCCTCCTCCCTCCTCCTCCTCCTCCTCTTTTTCCTCCTCCTCCTCCTCCTCCTCCTCCTCCTCTCCCTCCTCCTCCTCCTCCCCCTCCTCCTCCTCCTCCTCCTCCTCCTCCTCCTCCTCCTCCTCCTCTTTCCTCTTTCTTCCTCTTTCCTTCTTTTCTCTTTCCTCCTCCTCCTCCTCCTCCTCCTCCTCTTCCTCCCCAGGCCGACCCCCGTCGCGGGTTGACGCCACGCCTCGCGCCGAAGGCGCCACACCCCCAGGCGCGGTGCGCCCGCGAGGCGGCGCCGAGCCCCTCCGGGAGTCGACCCCGCCACGCTCGGTGCCGCGCGCAGATCGGCACGATCTGCACGGGGAAGGGAGGACTTGGGAACCTTGACCAGCGACAGATCCTGCCCACTTTTGGGGGAACAACAAGTGGCATAGACATAAAAACTCGGAGGTCCGCGCGGATTTCTCGGATCGGCGGCGGGGCCCCCCCAGCGGCGCCTCCGGCGCCGCCCCTGGCGCGCTCCGCGCGCCAGGGAGGGGGGTCCAGCGCCGATCCGAGAAATCCGCGCGGACCTCCGAGTTTGTATGTTTGTGTCATTTTTTGTTCCCCTAAATTGGGAACCTTGACCAGCGACAGATCCTGCCCACCTTGATCGAAGCGCGCTGTCGATGTCGCCTCGGACGTTGCCCATCTGGGCCGAAGGTCCCCCTGCCCAGCAGCGGCCGCTGCCGTTGTTTGACGGCAGGTGCTGCCGGGCATCGCCCCGTGCTCTTTCCGTCTCCAGTAGCTGGGCGTCCCGCGCGCAGTGCTCAGCGATGGGGCTGGTTCTGGCCGTGCTTTTTGCAGATTGGGTCGATGCCGATGTGGCGGGCAGGGCACGCGTGCGCGAAGAAGGCACTGCCAGGCACGACTCTTGCCCTCGCGGGCAGGCCTGTCCGGCGCGCGCTGTCGCTGAGCGCGCGCGCGCACGTGCCTTCATGTCTTATCATGTTGCTTTGCTCCCTTGCTCCATGCACCAGCCGATCCGCGCTTTGTTCTCCGGACGATCCTCCTTCTCCTCCAGCTTCCCCTCCTCCTCGGCCTACCCTTCTCTCCTGATTTGTCTTCCTCGCCACGGGAGGCGCAACCCACACAGTCAGCACTGACAGCAAGGATGATCGTTTTCCCAAGGGCACCCTTGCATCCCTGCCTCTTTGGTCATCTTCGGTCCGTCCTCAACCACCTTCGATGGCCAGCCTCTCTCGGGAAGCTTCGGCATGGGCGTCCATAGGGGAACAAACAATGACATGAACATAAAACTCGATGGTCCGCGCTGATTGCTCGGATCGGCGCTGGACCCCCCTTCCTGGCGCGCGGAGCGCGCTAGGGGCGGCGCTGGAGGCGCCGCCGGGAGGCTCCAGCGTCGATCCGAGAAATCCGTGCGGACCTCCGAGTTGTTATGCTCATGCCGTTTTTTTTCCCCTACGGGCGTCCATGGCCTTTGCATCCTTCTATCGCGCATCCCTCTTATCACTGTTGGCTGCGCAGCTGCACCGATCCTGGCAGGGCCAACCCTGCACCGATCTGCACAGATATCTGCACGGCTCCAGGGGGGCGAGGAGGAGGAGGAGGAGGAGGAGGAAAAGGAGGAGGAGGAGGAGGAGGAGGAGGAGGAGGAGGAGGAGGAGGAGGGGAGGAGGAGGAGGAGGAGGAGGAGGAGGAGGAGGAGGAGGAAGGAGGAGGAGGAGGAGGAGGAGGAGGAGGAGGAGGAGGAGGAGGAGGAGGAGGAGGAGGAGGAGCAGAGCACGCGCCTCGCCTTCCCCCCCCCTTTGGCCTCTGCCACTACGAGCGAAGCCTACAGTCGGGGCCCTGAAGAAGGAACCCTTTTCGTTGGGGAGGGGCTCCGCGTTCCTTAAGTGTTTCACAGCTTGCCTCGGGTTTTCCTTCTGTTTTCGATCGGAAATCGAAGTTTAACTTGTGGAAAAAAGGGGCCTCGTTCCTTATTTAGGGTTCCTTAGGTCAACGCCCCGACTGTACCCCTGCAGGTCCAAGCGGCGCTGGGGTATCAGCGGGCACGCCCGCTGGGGCTCTTTTGGCCGCAGGCATCCCTCGAGTTCTGCGGTTCGGCCAGCTCTTCAGAGGCCCAGCCTGCAGGGGAGGTGGGTTCACATGAGGGACGGAAGAAAGCGGGCTCGACTGCGCCGGCATTCGCGCGCAAGCTGCCCGCGTAAGGTCGCGCGTAAGCATCCTCGTCTCCAATGTTGCGTGCCAGACTGGCGGCCCGCGTAGGCCACCGCGTCAGGTCGCTATGCCATCTCGCGCAATCGTGGGACACATGTGGCTGCCGAGTGCTCATCCCCCCGTTTCGTCCGCCCCGAGTTTCCTTCCCTTGTCCGTTTGGGCTCAACCGCCCCGCCCCCCCTCATCCCTGTCAGGGGCGAGGGCCCCATCGCCCTGGTCCTCGAGCCCACGCGGTGCGCGGGGGGGCTGCGTGCTGGCAGGGGAAGTCGGGCGGCGAGGAGCTTTTTGCAGTCACTGGAGGTGCACGGTGATGATGCTGCTGATGATGATGACGATGACGAGGACGATGACGATGATGAGGAGGAGGAGGAGGATGAGGATGAGGATGAGGATGATGTTGGTGATGGTGATGGTGATCGTGATGGTGATGGTGATTGTGAATCTGATATTAATGATGATGCTGCCGATGATGAGGATTATGCTACTGCTGATGGTGATGCTGATACTAATGATGATGATGCTGATGCTGATGATGATGGTGATGATGCTGCCGATGCTGATGATGATGTTGATGATTATGTTGCTGATGGTGATGATGATGACGATGATGATGATGATAATGATGATGATGCTGATGATGCTGATGACGATGATGGTGACGATGGTGGTGATGATGATGCTGCTGCTGATGATGATGACTAGGAATTAAGAGCAGGAGGGGGAGGCGGAGGAGGAGGAGGATAAATCCCAGACGCATCACCGATGCTACAATACACCCTCCCTCCAAGTTACCACTTCACAGGTCCCTACAAACATGTATATTCATTGCGGGAACTTCCCCGTTGGAAGACGACCGGCCGAGAATATTTAACATTGCCAAGAAGCCAATTCCTGGGACGTCAGTGCTGCGAATCAACGTGGCTTGTGCGTCCTGACAATGTCAAGGTGTGCCAGATCTCGCCAGGATACCATTTCTGGGACTTCACCACCGCAAGTCAACGTGACGGTTGCGTCCTAACAATCATAGATCGTGCCAGATCGCCATTCTTGGGACTTCATTGATACAGACCTTTGAAGCTGCTGAGAACTTTCAAGACAAGTGTGCGCGGCGCTATGGCCAGAGCTGCATTCTGAAAAGGAACCGCCCTCCATCCTTGAAACAGTTGCAACTTTTTAACTCGAATGTGCGCGGCGCCAAGGCGAGAGCCGCATCCAAACAAATAATCGCCCAACCTCTGAAATGGTGGCCTACTTTTAAGACCAGTGTGCGCGGCGCCACAGCGAGAGCCGCACTTTGTAAACGGCAGAGTTTGGCATCCCGGGGACCTCCACGGTCCCCAGGCCCGTCAGAGCACGACTCAAGACGAACAGCTGGTTCTGGGGGAGGCCTCCTGGGTCCACGACCCGCTTCGCTTCTCTCAGGGCCCGTTTCCTTCATATTTAAGGGAGGAGGCGGTGGCGGGGGAATGTGGGAATGCGGGGGAGGACTGGCACGGATGAGCAGTTTGACGAGACAGCATCAGGATCAACGCCGCGCTGCACGCGAGTGGAAGTTGCACGTGCCCCAGTCCTCCCTTTGGTTCGGATGCAACTCCTGGGAGGTCAAATTCTGATCTTGCCCTGGTCCGAAATCCGGCTTAATCCCGCTTAATCCCGCTTAATCTGGCTTAATCCCGCTTAATCCGGTTTAATCCCGCTTACTCCGAGGCCCACTCCGGCGTAATAGCCCCCAAATGGGGCTTGATCCTCCTTAATGTTTCCGACGAAAACCTCCCAGCAGTTGCCTCCTAACTTTGGGCGATTCGCATGGGCATCTGGCAAAGCGGTCCAGGACTGGCGCCGAGGCGCGGGCTGAGCCTGCAAGCGGCTGGGCAGCACTCCCCGCAGCCGCACGAGTCCGCCGCCAGAATGCGGCCACGTCCAGTGCTTCGGAGTCGTGTCCGGGGACCCCGAGGAGTGGTGGAGATGGATATTCTCCCACCTCCAGGGGCGGGCAGGTTATCCTGATCCTCCACTCCCTCGAGGCCCACGGGCACGAGGCGGTGGATGTGGGCTACGGACATGTCCTTGCGGTGGAACGAGGAGCCTCCGCCTGATGGCGACACCCAGCTGGCGGCGGCCGTGAGCGGGCCCGCCCCTGCCGCCAGGGCCTGCCTGCTTCGCCGCCGTGTGCGGCGGCAGCGGCTCGGGCGCCTGCCCGAGCCGCGCCATGCCGGCGCCAGCCCGGCGCGGGGGGCGCCCGGATGCCCATGTGGCGAGTTGGGGCAACATGGCGCGAGCCAGTATGGCTACGGAGCGGGTGGTGGTGGTGGTGGTCCCTGCAGAGCAGCACACGAGCCACGACCACGCCGCCGCCGACGACGGCGGAGCGTGTGATGATATGGTGATGATGGTGGTGGTGGGGAGGACGCACAGGACGCTGAGGAGATGGAAGCGGAGGTCGACGCCGAGACTGAGGAGGAGGAGGAGGAGGAGGAGGAGGAGGAGGAGGAGGAGGAGGAGGAGGAGGGGGAGGAGGAGGAGGAGGAGGGGGAGGAGGAGGAGGAGGAGAGGAGGAAGGAGGAGGAGGAGGAGGTGGAGAGAGGAGGAGAGGGAGGGGGAGGAGGAAGAGAGAGTGCGGCTGAGGAAGAGGGCGAGGAGAGGCGCAGGACGAGCAGGGGTGAGCACTTGCACGATGTTGAGTTGGAGGGCCGAGAGGACGCGCTCGCGAAGAGGGCCCTGCGCAGACTGGCCGGAGGGGGACACGCTGGCAGAGAAGCCCAGGGCGACGCAGAGGGTGCAGAAGCAACCGGGCAGCCCTGTCACGGGCTGGGCACGGGGGACACAGGGGTGCCAGCCAGCGGCGATCCCTGCAGATGGCGTCCCGGAGGGGGGCGGCGCCAGGGAGCTCGCCGAGCAGACGCTGCAGGTGGCGAGGCGCTTCTGCGAGCGCACGGAGGGGGACGACACGCTGCGCGCGGGAGCCCCGGCTGCACACTGCCGCCTGCGCCGGCGTGTGCCGCCTCGCTCTCTCCGAAGCAGCCGCCTCATCGGGGCCTGTGTCGATCCGACCGATCGGATGCGATGTCGATCCCGACCGGCTCGGTCCGACTCGAGTCCGATGCTCCGTCGGCCCGGTGCGGACCTGTGCTCGCACTGCGCTGCTGCGCATCCTGGCGCAGCCGGTGCGATTTGATTTCGACACCGTGCCGATGCAGCCCGATCCGACGCACGTCTCGATCCGATCCCAATCCCCTCCCGATTCGATGCTGACTAGTCCTGCCTCGCCTCCTCTCTGTCTGCCCCGCCCTTTCCCCGGGCTCCCCCCTCGCCCCCCCCCCCCCCCCCGGCTGTTTTTTTTTCGAGCGAGGGGCCTCTAATTTGAAGTCGGGCATGTCCCTCTACAGGGGGAATGTTCAAACATAGGAAACAATAGTATGGGGATGGTTTACCCATTTTTGTTTGACTATTTTGGGGCATTTTTGGATCACCAGTTTCTTCCACGATCCGCTTGTAGGAGGACATGCCCGACCTAAGTCTCATTCTGCGCACCCCAATTTTGAGAGGTGGACGAGGGCCGCCGCCCGAGTGTGCCGCATCCGCCATTATGATGGCGCTCCTGCCCCCTGCGCGTGCCTCGCGGCGAGCAGTGGCAGAGCAGCGCGGCCGGCGCAGGTTTTCACCGCCCGCACCGGCGGATGTCAGCCGCCTTCTCCCAGGCGTAACTCCGGAGGGCAGACTTCGGGGAAGGAGCAATGACAGAAGCATAAAAAAACTCGGAGGTCCGCGCGGATTTCTCGGATCGGCGCTGGGGCCCCCTGGCGGCGCCTCCGGCGCCGCCCCTGGCGCCGGCGCTGGGGCCCCCTGGCGGCGCCTCCGGCGCCGCCCCTGGCGCGCTCCGCGCGCGAGGGAGGGGGGTCCAGCGCGGATCCAGGAACTCCGCGCGGACCTCCGAATTTGTA